AAAGGCTGAGGATAGAACACTTCGGTGAGCGTGGGCGGCTTCCACGTGAGACGCGCTGCGTTTCTGGGCGATGCCCCGTTGCCGCTTCTCGCCGACATGTTTGCGCTCATGGAGCTTACGGCTCGGATCGCTGTGCAGGTGTCTGTCGCGTTGCTCATTCTCCGCCCCCAGGCAGGCGCAGCATGCGGCCCGATCGGGAATACTTGGTGCCACGCACCACGCGCGCGGGAGGGTTCTCCGCCCCCTGGCCCGGGATTGGGAATTCCATTTTGCGTGGGAGCATTTCGCGGAGGGGCCGTTCGACGGGGCTAGAGATGTGGTTTGGAGACAAGCGATTCGCGCTGAAACATCCACCCTCGCCAAGGAAGAAGCGGCGACGGCGCCGCCTACCTTGCACCTGTACCACGAGACCATCGACCTCTGAGTTCTGTGTTGTGACGTGTTTGGCAGATGCATTTCCCTTTGGCCACCGCGCGTTTGGCGATTGCGACGCACGTTCAGGCTCAGCGTTTTGTCCTCAACGGGTTCGTGGGCGGGCCTTGCTGGGCCAGGGAGGGTCATCGCTGGATGCGCTTTCGCCACAAAGTCTACTCGGGCCCATGCCATCCAGAGTTTAGACAAGCTAGACACCCCACCTCCCGTCCACTTTAAGCTGTGCGCTGACGATTCAGGAGTCAGCGTCATAGGCATAGAGGAGTACATCGTCGCCAACATGTCGCTTGTTGCTCGTCCGCTACACTCTGTCTCAGAGGAGGGGATCGGGGCTGAGGTCGGCAAGGACGAGGGCCAGCGACCGCCGATTTGCCCGTCTCCGGTGCTGGGAAGAGAGTTGGCAGCGCATTTGGGAGGGCCGGCTGGCCGCTCCGCCCCACCGTCACCGAACTTGGGTGTGGATGCCTGCGCTACACCTTAGGCGATACTTAAGAAAACTTAAGTTTTCGGCCAGAGTCTCGATTATTCTTAACGTTTCAATGTAAATCCTAAGATTTTGAAGGATATATTGGGTTTTTATTCAAGTTCTGAGACTAAGAATTTCTTAACCCATGATTTCTTAAGCATTTCGCAGGGTGTAGGCAGGCCTAGGAGAGCTAGGGGCAGGAGTGCCGAACTGTCGTTCGGCTGGCCGTTCGGAGCCCGCGGCGGGGGGGGCGCCGCGCTGCCCGCCTCGGGCGCCCTCGTGTCGGAGCTCTTTGGGTCCGAGGCCCACGGCGTCAGCGCTTTCGAGCTGTTGAAATCTCGGCGGCAGGCTGGAGCGGCCCCGCAGCCTTCGGCTCCAGGCCGCTCGCTTCCTCCTCCTCATTCGCCTCCTCCTCCTCCTCCTCCTCCTCATCATCATCATCCTCATCCTCATCCTCATCCTCATCCTCATCCTCATCATCCTCATCATCATCAGCATCATCATCATCATCATCATCATCATCATCATCATCATCATCATCATCATCACCATCCTCTTGAATTGCGCATGGCGAACCCTGCCGGCACGCCGGAGCGGCGCCCGCGGCTCGCCGCTCTGAGGAGGCGCGGTGGGCCCACGGCCGACTTCTACACGCTCGCGCGCTCTCCCTGCGGCGCCGCGCCTCGTGCCCTGCGGCGGCCCTCGGGCTGTCCCAGGAGCGGCTGTCCTGGGCCCATGCCTGCGCCTGGGGCCTCCTCCTCCTCCTCCTCCTCCTCCACCTCCTCCTCCTCCACCCCTCCTCCTCCTCTCCTCCTCCTCCTCCTCCTCCTCCTCCTCCTCCTCCTCCTCCTCCTCCCTCCTCTCCTCCTCCTCCTCCTCCTCCTCCTCCTCCGCCTCCTCCTCCTCCTCCTCCTCCTCCTCCTCCTCCTCCTCCTCCTCCTCCTCCTCCTCTCGGGGGGGGGAGCTGAAACTCACTGAGTATTCTCCAAAGTTGATCCGCCATCTGCTGCGCAAGGCCGCGCCGAGGGGGCTCGGACGGGACGTGGCCGCCAGGCCCCACGCGGGCGGACGAGCCCGCGCCGATCCCGTGATCTGTTGTCCTACAAGCCACAAGCTCCACGCGCACGCCCTGCCAGAAAGGTTGCTTGAGAGCGTTTTTTTCCTGTATCGCGATGCACGCTCGAGAGCGCGCTGTCAGCTTGGGCTGCGCGCCCCCGTCCAAGATGTGCCCGTTTCGCGGGCAATGCTTTGACGCGCTTAGAATCGCCTCTGGGGGCGCCAGCGCCCTGCCGTGGTGGGGCGAAGGGACTGTCTCGTCAATCGGGAGCGGAAAAGAGGAGGGTGATGACTAGGGGGGGGGGATTTCATGGCGGGGGCCATGAATTTTCCTCAGATTTCATGCGGCCCTTCTTATTTCATTACGTCCCAGGCCCCCCCGCTGGGCCGCGCACATGCCGCCGGTCATGATTTGCACCCCCCCCTCTTGGACACCCCCCTCTTGGCCGCTCCCGAGTCAAGAAGCGCATTCAAGAGTGGGCCGCTGATGCCGATGATAACCTCGCCTGCGTCGGCGTCTTCCCGCACCCCGCCGACCCCTCCCCGTCGCCGCTGAAGCACAGGGGCACTGAGGTGGAGTGGGAGGAAGAGGAAAAGGACATCGATTGCGCTTTTGAAGGAGATATGTTCGTCGACGGTTCGTGCCGTCGGCAGTTGGTGGGCGAGCTTAACAGAGCGGGCTGTGCCGTTGTCCTTGTGTCTCGAGCAACAGGCAATGTGATCGCGCGAGTTAAAGGTCTGGTGTGGGCGCCGTGCCAGCAGACGCCGCAGGCAGCAGAGTGTCGCGCCGTGTCAGTTGCAATTGATTGGACGACAGGCCCCTCTATTGTTTTTGTCCGAATGCCAGGGCTGCGTGGATTTCCCTCGCTTGCCGTGGCCCGAACGAGCTTCAGGTCGGCGCATGCACGGTGGAATGGCCAAATTTCTGCGTGGCCATTGGTCGAAGGTGCAGCTTGAAAAGGTCAGGGCCCATTTTGATATCCAGGCTGATACCGACGACCACGATCGCTTCGTGCGGATAGGCAATAATTGGGCCGACCTGACGGCTAAGCAGGCGTCACCCTTGCACTCTTGGCCGTCGGTGTCCGAGCTCGAGTGTCTTGACCGCGCCTGTGCCGCTGCTGGGCCGCGGGCCGAAACTGTTCGCGCCCTTGCCCCGGCTGTCCTCGGGCCCCAGTGCAGAACGCCCCCCCGCTCTCCTCCTGTGGCTAAACCACTAGTCCAGAGAGCCGTGCATCAGCGGAGTTGGGTGGGCAGCTAGTGGCAGCGTGCTGCTTGCCCTCCGAGGGAAGCGGGGAATGCCAGCGGTCGGGCCCCCATGGAGGGCGGTGCTCTGCCGTGCTGCAGGTGTCCCCGGCCAGGCTTCGGGAGCTGGGTCATCGCCGCGTGCTGTTCGACTGCTCAGGCGACTCCTTTTTTTGTGCATGTGCCACACGTGCGTTTCTATGACGTCGGGGGGGCAGCTGCGTAACCTCGACAAGGAGCGCAAGCCAGACAAGTCGGCCACACATATCAGGAGGGGAAAAAACACACAGACACAATTAATCGTCGATCCCCCAGAAAATATGGGAAAATATGGGAATTGGGGGGGAAGACAAAACCCCAGAAAATATGGGAAAATATGGGGACTATTTTTATTTGTGTGTATTTATTTGTGTGTCCTAATTTCCCTTTAACATAGCAACCCGTAGGGTCATTTGAAGAGGGGGCTCCATCGGCGGAGCGCGGGGGCCACTGTCGATTTGAGCACGTTCTGCCATTTTCGAGGCGTTGTCTCCGTTGCACAGTGCGCGACCTCCTCCTGTTATTCCTCATCCTCCCTCCCTCCCCCTTTTTCTCCTCGTCCGCCTCCTTCCTCTCCCTCCTCTTCTTTTCCTTCCCATCCCTTATCATCTCCATCTCCTTCTCCCTCCTCTGTATCCTCATCCCTCCTCGTTTCCGGTTCCAGCTTACTAATCTTCATATTTCTGTCCTCCTCCTCTTGCTCCTCCTGTTGTTCCTCTTCCTCCTCTTCCTCTTCCTCCTCCTCCTCCTCCTCCTCCTCCTCCTCCTCCTCCTCCTCCTCCTCCTCGTTCTTCTTTTCCCCTTCTCCCCCGCCTCCGCCCCCCCCCGCTCCTGCTCCTCCATACCCCCCCATCCCCTGCTTCTCCCAGGTGCTGCCGCCGATCTCTTCCGCTTCAGCGTCACCATGCGGAAGCCCCCGGGCGTCACCCTCGGCATCGAAGTGTCTTGGGTTTCAGGGCCAGTCCAGCCATGGCCCGGGGCAGAAGAAACCACAGGGATCCGTAAGAAGCCATGTCGTGGGAGTCCAATTGCCACCACAGCAGAAGCAAGGGCCCAAACATGCAAGCATCGTTCTTGGGGAAAGCATATCAGTACCCCTCGTCGCGTCACCAGACGTGGTGGCGGCAGGGATAGCTTGGTGCTTCGCATGAGACTTCCCCGCAAGTTATGTGATCCGAAAACAGCAGCCACTTGGATGAAGCGCACATGATATTGAAAGTATAAGAGTGGTTGTAGATGTTCCCACGTGCCTTACACATCATGCCCGAATTCCCAGCAAGTACACGGATGGCAGGGCAGATGGTTTCCAAAGTTCTGGTGTTCGCTTGAGATCGAAAGCCCAACACGTGGTACGGCGTTACAGTGGTAATGCCAAACAGCTACGTTAGTGGACAGATGGCCGTTTTCAGAGTGCGGTTGTGGTTTGATCGTTCTCCACATGCCAATGTCAAATACGTTGGCAGCTTAATGGCATCACAGATGGCGCGTCGCGCCTGTTTTCCATAGCACAGGCACCGATTGATATGTCACATTGCGCCATTACCTTAGATTTTAAATGTTCAAGAGCTGTCCCCGTTGACGACGGATCCTTTTCAAGATATTGTTCTCGCTTGGGGCTTCTTCGCATATGACGGCTCGAATAATCTAATTCGCCAACGTGTGCTCTGATGTTGTGCTCCCCCTTGTTTCACATGTGTTGTATAATCGCTGGTGTCGCACACTACTGATACATTGCGACAAGATGCATGGAGGACGGCACCAGATACCAGATCAAGCTAATCGTGTCTAGCCGCGTTTTTCGGGCGAGCATGTTTCTGATTGATGCGCGTTGCAAGACACGATCTTATCGTGCTGTGTTTTGTGGCTCCGCCATAGCACTCAAACTGTTCCACCATTCTCAAGTTCCAAACCTCGCTAAGGTGGGGGCACATGAGTATAACCATTCCTGAAAATGTGGCAGGTAAATTGAATATTTGATTTAGACTGCCACTCGCCGTGGTGAAACATCGGCTTAATACCTGCACGAGGAGGGGCTTTGGGATGGGAGGGCATATGATATGATATTTGATGCATGTGGGGCTATCTTGGCCCTCATCATCATTCACCCCTTCTTTTCCCGTTTCTGCAGAAGGGCCGGCATCTTCATCTCGAAGATCACCGACGACGGTGCCATCCGCGACTGGAACAGCTGGAGCCAGGAGCCCTACAGGGTGCGGCCTGGCGACTTGATCTACCAGGCCTCGGGGAGTGCCCAACCCCTTACGGGCGGAGGAGGAGCAGGAGGCATCCGGCGGCGCTGCCACGCGGACCCCCCGCCGCGCCCAGGGAAGCTGCGCAGCAGCTCTGCGCCGTGCCGTGGCACGGTTGTCACGCTGCCTCGTTTCGAGGCAGCGTGACAACCTGTGGCGCTCCGTTCGGATTTCTTGTGGTGCTCCGTGTCGCTCCGTTCGGATTTCTTGGATCCACGATGGGCCCCCCGGCGGTGGCACACCACAAACATAAACTCGTGGCGCTCCGTTCGGATTTCTTGGATCCGCGATGGGGCCCCCCGGCGGCGCCTCCGGCGCCGCCCCTGGCGCGCTCCGGGCGCCAGGGAGGGAGGTCCAGCGCAGATCCAGGAAATCCACCCGGAGCGCCAAAAGTTTATGTTTACATCGTTTTGTTCATGTCCTACCGTTGGGGGAAGCGATGGGGGGCTTCTTTTGGAGGACTTGCTCGGGGCTCCTCGCGGCCTCGTTGTCTGCTGCTGTCTGGGGGTGGGGCCGCCTTGGGACAGTCTCGGGCCCGTCTCGGACCGTGCAGGGGGGACCTCTGGCTGGACTGTGCCGGACCTGTGTCAGGAGGAAAAGAAACACACAGACACAATTAATCCTCGATTTGCCAGAAAATATGGGAAAATATGGGAAGTGGGCGGGAAGACAAAAATCCAGAAAATATGGGAAAATATGGGGCATCTTTTTATTTGTGTGTATTTATTTGTGTGTCCTGGGGCCCCTTCACTGTGGGCTTGGGGGGCACTCTTGGCCAGCTAAGGCGCCGCAATCCAAACGCCCGTCGGATGCCATCTTGAGTTTCTTGGGGTGGCAACGCAAAAGCGCTCAAGCACTTGATGTTAATGCTGGTCGATGTCGCTGGATTCCCCAAACACCCCGCCACCGCGCAAGGGTTACAGGTCAGACGCCTCTTGAATGCTTGTGGGGATCTCTTGGGAGGTTTCTCGGAAGCCTTTTGGAGGCGCTTTAGGAGTGCTCTGGGGCCTCTCGAGTGCTTTGGGGGGCCTGATTTCGGCCCCTTCGGGGATTCTTTGGGCGTCTTGGCGGCTCTTGGGGGTCTGCTGGTTGTCTCGGGACCATCTTAGAGCGGAGGGCTCGACATATTAATGTGAGTTCCCCTCTTGGGGCCCTCCTGGGGCTCTCTGGGGCCGTCTGGGGTGCCTCTTGAGCCCTCTTGGGCAGTTTTGGGGGGCCTCGTTGGCCGTCTTGGGGCGATCTTGTGGGCCGCGTTGGCCGTCCTGAAGCGTCGGGGGCCCGAAATGGCGAGAACGCTAAATTCTTCACTCTTCGCATATCCCCACCATCCCTCTTTCTGGACTAGCGGCCGTCCCGGCATCGCTTTGTCCAGCACTCCCCTGCACGTGCGGTTGGTTCCCTGAACCCCGGCCTGTGCTTGCCCGAGGTGCCCTTCCGCTTGTCGTCACTTTGTGTGTCAGCCCTGTGCGTGGTGCCCATTCGGGCCCGTGTTGGGTCAATCTGACACCATCTCACGCACTGGTACGTGGTGACACGCGCTATTTTGGCTGCGTCGCGACTATGCCGCTTCCCACATGCGTGCGTACTGCTGCCTCGGGGTCTCTCGGCTTCCGCCACCCTGGGTGTTGCAGCCTGCCAATGCGCTCGCCTCCTGGCGTCAATTCTTTGGCCGACGGTCCTTCGGACCACCCTTGTTTTCGCGCTCACGCCGACGTCTGGGGCCTCGTTTTTGCATTTCTCATTCCCACCTCGACTGGCGGTTCGTTGGATGCGGCCACCCTGGTGCCCACGCAGCTGCTTGAGGTTCGGTCTCATGCGTTATCTCTCGGAGTTGTCCCTGGTCGTCGTTTATATCCCGACTTCTGGCGCCTTCGACGGACTTGCATCTTTGCACGCTGGCAGTTCCATTCAGTTTCAGTTCCTTCTTCCACCCACCTGCCGCTGGGCCGTTGCGTGAGGCCTCGGCTTGCCGCGTAGCTGTTGCCTTGCGCGTCGCCTCTGCCTAATTAGTCTCTGCGTAGTCCGCTTTGACCTGACTCGCCGCTGGCGCGTTCGCCCGCGGCCGCTGACTAAAAATATCCCCACCATCTCTTTCAGAAACCCTGCCGATGACAGTTGACGGGAAAACGGACGAAGAGACACATGTAGTGAAACAAATCAGGCAACCAGGGTGAACAGAGAGATCTCTGGGAGCAAAGGGCTGGTTTTGGGGGGGCCTTTTCGGGCCATCCCTGGGGTCCGAATGGGGGCGAGGGAAGGAGGATGGGCAGGAGGAGGAGGAGGACGACGACCACGACAACGACGACGGGGAAGAAGAAGACAAGGAAAAGGAAGACAATGAGGGCAAGGACGAGGACGAGGACGAGGATGATGAGGAGGACAACGAGGACAGGACAGAGCCCTCAAAGTCGCCTCTTGGAGCCTTCTTGGACCTCTTTTGTGAGATCTTTGGGTCCTCTTGGTGCACTTTCGAGGGGTCTTGGGGCCGTGGGGGTCTCTTGGGGCCCTCCTTGGGCCCCGGAGGGCCTCTTGGGAACATCTTAGAGGCCATCGATCAAAAGCAGGGGGGTCCTTGATTTCCGCACCCCCCAAGAGCCCTCGAGACCGCCTCTTGAGGCCCTCTTGGGGCGCGCTTGGGCCCCTCTTGGGCACTCTTGGGGCCGCCTGGGGGGTCTATTGGGCCCCTCTTGGGTCTCTCTATGGCCATTTACGGGCCATCGTAGTGCCTCAAAGGCGCACCGGGAATGAAAAGGCGAGAAGTCCAAAATCAGTGATTTTTTTCGGGCTTCTCATTTTGGCCTCGTGGGGGAGTCCTGAGGGGGGGTTCGAGAGCACTTGGTCTTGTGGCCCTCGTCGGACTTCTTGGAGGCATGCCGGAAGCTATCCTGAACCATCGTCGGCTGTCTTGAGCCGCTTTGAAGGCCATCTTGGAGCATCGGAGGCCCTCTTTGCGCCATCTTGGGCGAAAAAAGACCCTACCCTCTGCCACGAGGAAAGAACGAACTCGCTAGACCGCCTTAGTCCAAGGGGCTGGTGGGACTCTCCGCAAACCCACGGGCAAGTTGACGATGTTGGCTTTTTGGAGGCGCTCTTGGGGCGCCTTGGGAGCCTCTTGGGCAGTCTTCAGGCCATCGTGGGCGTCTTGGAGCGATCTTTGGGCGATTCGGAGCCCTCTTGGATTGTTACGGGCGCATCTCGGGGCCTGTTGGCCCGTTTCGGCGCCTCCTTGCCCCCAGAGAAGCCATGCAGGAACACGCGACAACACGTGAGGAAGTCCCAGGAGCGCCCTGAATTCGAGTTTGTGGGCTTGTTTAAAGGGTCAGAGTGAGGGGCCGGACTGTCATTCTCTGTCCCTGGGCGCGTGGCTGAAGTGAGGTTATGTGGTGCGGATTGTTGTTGTTGTTGTTGGTGTTGTTGCTGGTGGTGTTGTTGTTGGTGTTGTTGTTGGTGGTGTTGGTGTTGTTGTTGCTGTTACTACTGTTGTGTCTGTTTATGGTGTTGATGCTACTGCTGCTGTTGTTGATGTGTTGGTGGCGGGGTTGGTGTTGTTTGTTGGTGGTGGTGGTATTGTTGTTGTTCATGTTGTTGTTGGTGGTGTTGGTGTTGTTGGTGTTGTTGTTGGTGGTGGTGGTGCTGCTGTCGTCGTTGTTGGTGGTGTTGGTGTTGGTGTTGTTGCTGTTGTTGTTGGTGGTGTTGCTGTTGCTGTTTGTTGTCGTCGTCCGCCCTCGACCCGGCCCGCGACCCACCTGAGACCCGCCCGCGACCCACCCGCGAGCCACCCGCGACCCACCCCGCCACCAACCCCGCCACCCACCCGCGACCCACCCGCGACCCACCCCGCGACAAGCCCGCGACCCACCTCGCGACCCGCCCGCGACCCGCCCGCGACCCACCTCGCGACCCGCCCGCGACCCCCCCGCGACCCACCGCGCGACCCGCCCGCGACCCGCCCGCGACCCTCCCCGCGACCCGCCCGCGACCCGCCCGCGACCCACCCCGCGACCCGCCCGCGACCCGGCCCACGACCCACCCCGCGACCCACCCAAATTGCTTTGGCGAGAAAATCGACGCCTGTGGCGAGCTCGCTGTATAATTTGGAGGGCTTCTTCAGAGCCTCGCAGACTGCCAAAGTCCCGGCCGCCCCCTCACTTTTATCCGCAATTGCGGGATGCTACGTATCGAAGACGCCTACGGCGAATTACCGCCGCCCCCTGCCTTTTGGAGTCGCCCATGTGGCCGAGCGTTGTGGCAAGAGCTCTGCCAAGTTATCGGGCCATGTGTTCCCCCAGCCGTCGTGGAAACCCTCTGGGGATCACTTGGGGGAGGATGGATGGGAAGATCAGGAGGAGGTGGAGGAGGAGGAGGAGGAAGAGAGGGCATCTTGGGAGCCTATGGGGACACTCTTGGGGCCTCCTGGAAGCTTCCTGGGAGCCTCTTGGAGGCATCTTGGCAGCCTCCTTGGGCTTTTGGGGGGGCCTTTGGGGGGCTTCTGAGGGGCATGTTTGACAATCTTAGGGCATTCCCGGCACGTCTGACGCCGTCGGAAGCCGTCTTTGGGACCTCTCTGGGCAGACGTGGGGCCCTCTTGGGGTGTTCCAGGGCCGTCTTGGAGGCCATCCCGGGCGTCTTGGAGGCCTCTTGGACCGTCTGGGGACCTTCCCGGGGCCGTCTTAGGAGCCTCTTGGGCCGTTCAGGGGCCGTCTTGGAGGCCTCTTGGGCGATCTTGGGGCGATCTTTGGGGGCTCGGTGGCCGTCTCCGACCGTCGGAGGGCCGAGAAGAAGCAAATACCAAGATCCGGCGAAAAGCCATAGAGGATCCATGGTTTCGGCCTCTTCGGGCATTCCTGGAGGCCCTGCTGGGGGCCCCATTGAGCCTTCTGGGAGGCCTCTTGGAGGCCGCTTGGGCCGTCTTAGGCAATTTTAAAGCCATCTTGGGCCGTTTTCATGGCCTCCTGGCCCGTCTGACGCCGTCGGAAGCTGTCTTGCCA